CCTTGCGACACGATGATCTTTTCTGAGATTAGTTAGAAGTGCACTAACACACTCATACGACTGTAGCTGGATGTGGCTTAAGAACTCTGAAATACACTTTATTTAGGTGGGCAAAAGGCTTTGCCAACTTCAAGCTAAAGCTTTTAAAATTGTGGGGATGCAGGTAATAAATACTAGAACATTTGTACTTGCAACAAAACCAGCTACTTCTGAGGCTGACTGAAGCTTATTTAAGTAACGCTACACGCTACGTAACATGATTTGCACACAGAACGTTAGGAATACCCTCTCCCATTCAAATGCCATATAAAAAATACAAAGCAGTTGTGTAAACTTTCCATTTCTGCTCCTTGGAAGTACATTTAGCATAACGAGAGGCCAGAAGGCAAGACTTTCAAGAGCACTTTGAGACACTTGCCAGACGGCTCTTTTCCATGCATCACCATGCACAGCTACTTGAAGCATATTCAATTACTTGCTCTGTTTATGCTATGCACCTAGGGCTTTTTTTATTTCTACCTGCCTCTAACAGAATCAGCATAGCTTGAAGTTAGTCATGGTTTTTCTAATGTACAAAAATAAGGAATACTTTGAAACGGTGTATCTTCAGTTAAGGTTAATAATTAATGTAGTTGCATATTTGGCAGTAACTTAACAATTTTAAAATGTAATGGAAATGATCTTTAAGGCTCCAGCTTTCTTTGGCATCAATTTCATGAATCCCATCCTTCAAAATTATATTCCAACTTAATGTCTTCTCTAATTTTAGTTTATCTTCCTGAGAAACTGTGTCTAAAATAGAGGCGGTTTTCCAGCAACCAAGCTAAAAGCCTCATTTTACAGGCTGTGATAATTGAACAACAAAGCACAACACTGCTCTAAGCAATTTATCTGTCAGCTGTTTGGCTCTGTATATAGTACGGAGAAACATTACAGGTAGCAAACCAGAAATAATGAACTAGCTAAATGCTCCCCTTATAAGATGCGCCACTGAAGAGCTGTGGCTACCCAGGTGCTCGCGGGAATGTGGCGTACCCAGTGGAGTACAGAAATCTTACTCATAGAGGAAACTTTTGTTCATGTTTCAGCTTAATATTTAACTCTCTGTGCTGTGAGGACCCTTCACACCTTATGCCACCGCAAACCTCACTGAGACAGTGCAACATGGAACCACAGCCTAATACCTCAGCTCCAAATACAGAGCAGAGGTGGTGCAAGTTAAGTTTGATTTGGACTGTGTGACGCTTCCTGGAGGAGAGCTGCACCCCCAGGCAGCACTGCAACGGTGTTGATCCCGCCAGGAGGGTGGGCTGGGTGCCTAGCTGGCCCTGGAACAGTTCCTCTGGGAACTGCTTCCTGCTCAGTTGACCTCAGCAGGAATGAGTTGTGTCATTCTGCAGTAAACTCCTACCAGCTGCGTGGAAAGGGCTGAGGATTGGACTGTTCCACAGTCCGCAGCAGCAGGCGCTGGCTGTGCTGTGGCACGCTGCACTGAGGCTGCTGAAACTTTTATCACTGGACATCTCGTATGGACTAAAGCTCTGGTTTCTAACTCCAGGCTAGCACAGATAAACACGCACCTAGGAAATTAAATGCTAAATGTGCACCCTCAGCAAATTTGCAGACGACACGGAGCTGAGTGGTGCAAACACGCCTGAGGGACGGATGCCATCCAGAGGGAGCTGGACAAGCTGGAGAAGTGGGCCCATGTGAACCTCATGAGGTTCAACAAGGCCACGTGCAGGGTCCTGTGGCTGGGTTGGGGCAACCCCCAGTATCAATACAGGCTGGGGGATGAAGGGTTTGAGAGCAGCCCTGAGGAGAAGAACTTGGGGGTACTGGTGGATGAAAAGCTGGACGTGAGCCAGCAATCTGCTCTCACAGCCCAGAAAGCCAACCGTATCCTGGGCTGCATCAAAAGAAGCGTGGCCAGCAGGGCGAGGGAGGTGATTCTGCCCCTCTACTCCGCTCTGGTGAGACCCCACCTGGAGCACTGCGTCCAGCTCTGGGACCCCCAACATAAGAAGGACATGGACCTGTTGGAGCAGGTCCAGAGGAGGCCACAAAAATGATCAGAGGGTGGAAGACCTCTGCTGTGAGGACAGGCTGAGAGAGCTGGGGTTGTTCAGCCTGGAGAAGAGAAGGCTCCGGGGAGTCCTTATTGCAGCCTTTCAGTACTTAAGTACTTATAGGGGCCTATAAGAAAGATGGGGACAGACTTTTTACCAGGGCCTGTAGTGACATGACAAGGGGTAATGGTTTTAAACTAAAAGAGGGTAGATTTACTCTAGATATAAGGAAGAAATTTTTTACAGTGAGGGTGGTGAAACACTGGGACAGGTTGCCCAGAGAGGTGGTAGATGCCCCATCCTTGAAAACATTCAAGGTCAGGTTGGACAGGGCTCTGAGCAACCTGATCTAGTGGAATATGTCCCTGCCCATTGCAGGGGGGTTGGACTAGATGGCCTTTAAAGGTCCCTTCCAAACTATTCTATGATTCTATGAAATTAAATCATTAGATTTACACCAGTCAGTGGCAATGTAAGCCTAGCAAATGAAGGCCTGATTTAAGTAACAAAACTGATCTCCTCCCTCCACTCAGAGACGATAAATTACATGAAAAGCCATGATGTAAGCATCAAGTGCGTTAACACCGTGCACTGCTGGGTGCACATCTGCACAGAGGACCCTTCTGTTCCCTGGATTAGCTCACCGCAGAACCCAGGCGGTTGCACTGGCACAGCTGAGGAGTCAGTTCAGGGCAAAAGCTGTTAGGTAGCTGTTGAACACAACACTGATCTTCCTGCAGGTGCGAGGGCAATTTTGGGCATATATCAGAAAGTGAGGAGGTGGCAAAGTGTGGCTTTCTGTCAGCAACATTCATGTAAGGAATGAGGCACCTAATTTTTAAAGGAGTTTAGCAATTCAGCTGCGATCTGCTATTTCATTTTAATGACTAGACAGAAGAAAGAACTTCAAGAAATCAGTACTAAAAGCTTCAAAAATGGTACTATACCTCTGTACTGATGGAATTCAATCTTAAGCCCAGCATTAGGGCTTAAAAATGCCACCATGCAGTCAAATAATAAATTTCTACAGTGCCTTTCATAAGGGACCCCTAAGAATTTCTACTATTTTGTCACTACGTTTTCACACAGTACTAAAAATGCTACTGGAAAGTAGCATCTGTTCAACAGCTTCAAAATTTAAACAATAAGCAGTACACTGGCATAAGTTGTAATTCTGCTATATAGCCAAAATTAAACTGCGCCTTTCTGAACAGTGCAAGAGCCTCTGCCCACCGCTAGCAGACCAAGTCTCAGTTTAGATCAGAGTCCAAGAGATGGGAGGGAGGACACTCGGTAACTTCCAGTTACTCATAGACTGGACAAAAGTTAAAGATTTGTAGATGACAGGCAATGGGGAGCAATCCTGTTTCTTTGTACATGTGGATGATCCCTCATCACCTGTGGAGCAGGCGATTTTCTCTGTTCAGAGATGGCTCACGACTGCACCCGTGGGTAACACACTGGTTACCGGGGCATTATCGATCAGCCGAGCCGCGGTAACTCCACCTGCAGCCCACCACAAATGGTCTAATGCCTCCACGGCCCAACCTGTGCCCCAATACCCGCCTCTCCCCCGGGCAGCGGCTGAGCCGAGCCAGGCCTCACCTGCGAGCAGCCTCCTCGATGCTCTCCCCCGGCTGCACCTTCCCCCCGAAACCGTTCCACAGCCCAGCTCCAAACCCGCGTTTCTTCATGCCCAGGAGGACGCGGGGCGGCTGCACCACCAGGACGAGGGTGAAGAGCCTGGATGTGCACATGGCTCCTGGGCGAGAGACGAGGAGGGCACGCTGCGCCAAGGGCTCCCCGCACTCCCCAGAGGGGAGGCCAGGCTGCTCCCCTGGCCCAGGGTGGGGGTTGACGAAACGTGGACTCGCTGCTCAGGCCCAGGCAGCCCTGATGCCCCCCAGACACCCAGCACCCCCTCCCTGAATGCCTGGTCCCCACCATCCCCGGCCCAAACCCTTGGTCCCCCGGCGCCTCTCCCGATGCCTACTCCTCTAACACTCCCCACTGACCCTTGCTCTCCTGCTCCCCCAGCACCCCCTCCCCAAATCCGTGTCCCCCCAGCACCTCCTCCCCAAATCCTTGACCCCCCTCAGCACCCCTTCCCCAAACCCCTGACCTCCAGCAACTGTTCCCCAA